TGAGGATAATGTGTGTATACATCTGCACCACTCACATCGGTTCTCAGGCATGTGATCACCTAGAGTCAGTCTCCAACCACTGGTTCCTCATGTCCCGCCGACCCCAACCACCTAGTCTGCATCGTCCTACATGGCTTAAACCAACAGTCAGAGACTTCATACATTGGTGCCATGTTTTAGTCTGGCCACCTCGAGTCTCAAGCCTTTTTCCAGCCTGGGCCTACTTCGGTCAACATTGTGTCATAAGGCAATGGTGACTAGGCATACGTAGTACGTGTCCTAACCAGCCATCTCAGTCGATGAAGGTTCACAACCTCGTCAACTGACTCAACTGACTTACCTCTTCTCCCTAAAACTCTACACCTGACTTCTGTGTTACTCACGTGGTGCGGTGACACCACGGAATACGGCCTATACTACGAAAGCAGGCAACAGTGGTCAAACACCTGAAGCCTTTTTATATCTTCCACTTTCAATGACCATGTTTCACAGCCATGCAGTAGAACAGAGCGGACTGCTGTGCAGTACACGCCACCCTTAATAGACAAACGGATATGACGGCGACACCATTATTATTTTATTATTATTAGTCCCTTGGGTTCCTAGTGGAACATAGGGCTTCAGTAGCACGCCTCCAGTGACCTCTGTTCTCTGAGATCTTTTGAACCTGGTTCCACGACAGCCCACAACCTCTCATTTCCTCCTCGCATGACCTCCTCCATGTCACCCTCGGACGTCCAACTCGTCGCTTCCCATGGGGATTCCACTCGAGGGCCTGACGCGTGATGTCCTCAGTCGGCCTTCTCAGTGCATGGCCAATCCATCTCCACTTCTTCCTGCATATTTGTTGCGTGATAGGTTCTTGGTTGGTTCGTTCCCAGAGTTCCTTGTTGCTTATTTTTTCTGGCCATCTGATCTTCAGCAGCGAGCGTAAGCAGTTGTTGATGAATGTCTGTAGTTTATTGGAAATGCCTTTCGTGACGCGCCAAGTCTCTGAGCCATACAAGAGCACTGACTTGACGTTGGTGTTGAAAATCCGTATCTTGTTCACATGCTGAGTGCAGAAGATCTCCACACTGGTTTCAGGCTAATGAACGCTGCTTTTCCGATTCTGACTTTGACGTCCTCGTCCGTCCCGCCTGTAGTTGAAACAGTGCTTCCTAGATAAGTGAAGGAGGTTACTTCCTTCAAGTTTCTCCCGTTGACGGTGATTGGAGTTTGTTGTTGTTGTTGATGGTGGTGGTGCGGTATCTTCATCACTTCTGTCTTCTCTATATTCACCTGAAGTCCCGTCTTCGCTGCCTCTTCTATCAACTTGTTAGTTTTTGCCTGCAGATCTTCAAGTTTATGTGACATTAGGCATAAGTCATCGGCGAAATCCAAGTCTTCTAGGTTCTTTTCCGTCGTCCAGTGTATCCCCCTCTTCTCGCTGCCTACTGTTTGCTGCATGATCCAGTCCACCACAATCAAGAATATCATGGGGGATAGTAGGCAACCTTGTTTCACTCCTGTCTTCACTTCAAAGGCATCACTGAGCTTCCCATTGTGGATTACTTGGCATGTGGCATCTTCATATAGTTGTTGAATGAGGCGGATAAAGGTTTGCGGTACTCCGTAGTATTGAAGCAGTTTCCAAATTACTTCTCGGTCGACGCTGTCAAAGGCCTTCTCAAAGTCGATGAAGTTGAGGTGGAGAGGTGATTGCCATTCTATGCTCTGTTCTATGATGATACGAAGCGTTGCAATTTGGTCTGCACATGATTTGTACTTCCTGAAGCCTGCCTGTTCCGGTCGTAGTTTTGAATCCAGTGCATCCTTAGCCTCTCCAGGATGATGCGGCTTAATATTTTACTTGGGGTGGACAGGAGAGTGATTCCGCGCCAGTTCTTGCAAGCACTGAGGTCTCCCTTCTTCGGCAGTTTGACAAGGTAACCCTTCTTCCAATCGTCAGGTACCTTCTCTTCCTTCCACACCTTCTGCAATAGTGGTGTGAGCATGTCCGCTGTTGTCTCTGCATCTGTTCTCAGTGCTTCTGGCGGTATTCCATCTGGTCCTGCTGCTTTCCCGCATTTCAGTAGCTTTATGGCGTTCAGGACTTCCATTTTCGTTGGGGGATTTATGTTCACTTGTAGTTCAGCGGCTGCAGGTGGTATTTCTGGACGAAGTGCAGGTGGTGGTCGATTCAAGAGCTTCTTGAAGTGGTCGGCCCATCGTTTCCTCTGTTTCTCTTCTTTTGTAATTAAATTTCCTTCTTCATCTTTTATTGGTTTCATCTGTGTTGGTCTCTTCCCTGATAGCAACCTGGTTATTTGATACAATGTCGTCAGGTCTCTCTTACCTGCAGCCTGTTCTGCTTCACTTGCCAGTGTGTCGTAGAAGTGTCTTTTGTCTTTGCGTGCACTCTTCTTCACTTCTTTATCCAGTGTTTTATACATTGTGCTCAGTTCCTCTTGTCGTTGAGCATCCTTGCACTGGTTTATCTTCTGCTTCACCATCCTCCTCTCCTCTATCAGCTTCCAGGTATCCGTCGAGATCCATTCCTTGTCTTCTTTCTTCTTCCTTCCTAATACTGTTGTGCAGGTTTCTTTCCACATAGCTTTCAAAGACTTCCAGTGTTCTTCCACACAGGTTTCTTCAGGGATGTTGCTCGATGTCTCCCATTTTGTCTTGATGGCTGCTTGAAGATCTCCTTTGTAGTTTCATCCTTCAGTTTCCGAGTGTTGTACTTGGGTTGAGGTCTATCACCAGCTTCCTTGAAGGCTTTTAACTTGATTTGGAAGGTTCCTTGCACTAGGTAGTGGTCTGAACCTACATCTGCTCCTCTTCTTGACCTTGTGTTAAGTAGACTGCGTCTCCATTTTCTTGAGATTGAGATAAAGTCGATTTGATTTTTAGTGTGTCCATCTGGTGAAATCCATGTCGCTTTGTGGATATCCTTGTGCCTGAACACACTGCCTCCAATCACCAAATCGTTGAATGCACAGAATTCTGCAAACAATTCTCCATTCTCATTCATTTCACCTAGCGCCTCTCGACCCATGGTTAGTTCTCTTCCCGTGTTGTCCCCTCCCAGTTTGGCATTCATGTCGCCCATCAGAATTTTGATATCGCCAACTGTGGTCTTGTCCAGTGTTGATTGAAGTTGTCTGTAGAAATCCTCCTTTTTCTCTTGCTCTGCATTATTTGTAGGTGCATAACATTGTATGATTGTGACCTTTCTTCCTTTTGAGTTGAATCTTGCTGTCATGATCCTGGAGGAGATTGGTTCCCACTGCATGAGAGCCTTCGATGCTCTTGAGGACATCATGATAGCCACTCCCTCAGTGTGCTCGTGGTTGGCGTCTGGGTGACCGGAGTAGATTATTGATTCTCCAGTTGACAGTTTGGAGAGTCCACTCCCATTCCATCTGCTTTCGCAAATCCCAAGCACTTCGATGTTATACCTTCTCATCTCCTTTGCAATCTGGGCTGCCTTACTGGGTTCAAACATCGTGCGGACATTCCATGTCCCCACGTTTACTTTCGCTTTCATCGAGAGAAGACACATCGGCCAATTGGCTTCCCGAAGGCTTTCACCAACTGGCGTCATTTCGCCTCTCCGATTCCAGCGGGGAATAAGTTTGTTTTCATTTTTTATATTTTGTTTGTGCTTTGAAGTTTCTTTAGCGGTTAGATTTGTTTTACGGGGTAGGGTTGCTAGCCCTATGCCCAACCTTCCCTCTTTACCCGGGCTTAGGACCGGCTAGTAACTAGTAAACTAGTTAACCAGGCGAGGTTACGGCGACACCATAGGTAGCGCAAATTGGCAAAAGCCAATCAAATTTATCCACTAATCAAACATCATAATCATTATTGCATTGATTTGGATTGAATCAGCGACGAGTTGGACGTCCGAGGGTGACATGGAGGAGGTCATGCGAGGAGGAAATGAGAGGTTGTGGGCTGTCGTGGAACCAGGTTCAAAAGATCTCAGAGAACAGAGGTCACTGGAGGCGTGCTACTGAAGCCCTATGTTCCACTAGGAACCCAAGGGACTAATAATAATAATAATAATTGGATTGAATCGGTTCCACTGGTCATTGAAGGTGGAAGACATGAGAAGGCTTCAGGTGTTTAACCACCATTATATTCTTATTATAGGCCGTATTCCGTGGTGTCATTATGTGAGTAACTCAGAAGTCAGGTGTCACTTGACGAGGTTATGAACCTTCATCGATTGAGATGGTTGGAACATGCACTGAGTATGCCTAGTCACGGATTGCCTCGTCACACAATGTTGGCCGAAGTAGGTTGAGTCTGTAAAAAGGCTTGAGGCTGGAGACGGCCAGACTACAACATGGCATCAATGTATGAAGTGTTTGACTGTTGGTTTGAACTATGTGGGGCGACTTTGTAGACTAGGCGGTTGGGGTCTGCAGGGCAAAAGGAACCAGTGGTTGGAGACTTACTCTAGGTGATGACATGGTTGAGAAGCGATGTGAGTGGTGCAGATGTATACACACATTATCCTCATGTTAACGACGCTCTTTCGAACCTCACCATTTTCTCATTCTTCCTTTGTCTCTTTTCATACTTTACATTTCTTTTGACTGAATTTTCTTATCTTCATCTTGCGCCTCACTGCCTTTTACTGTTTAGAACTCTTCTTCATTAGATAACTGACTGACCAGGTGTTGTAACCAGCTTTCATATAGCAAGTCTGTCGTGAAATTTAGCACTTAGAGTCTTAATGGGAAGAATATTACTCACTGAGATGGAGGTAGGTCCGGCTAACGAGTCTCTGATAGGACGAAACATGCATCCGAGATTCCACCGTTAGGCACGTTCCAGCATTACTATCAAACTTTATTTTCTGAATCCTACTATGTATTGTATTTTTGTTTTATTTAAACGTATTTACTAGCTTAAAGTTTTGTTAGTTTTAGCTAAAAAGTTTAAGTTTATAAAATTGTATTTCTTGACTCATTTCTCTCTAACTTTTCTTTATTATTCATTTTTAGGAATTATCATATCAAAAAATGCAAATTATCGAATTAACACATCGTTTAGATTATGCACGTCGTCAAGTAGAAGCTCGTGATCAATTAATAATTGAACATGGTTTAGTACTACTTGGTGGTGATGGTATCAGTACAGATGCTGTTACACTACCATTACCATCTAACGAACAGTTGATAAGTGGTGAACAATCTTCAAATATGAATAAAATAAATCCTGTCAATAGTAATAATATGAAAATGATGATGAATGGTTTATCCAATAATCATTCTAAATCAAATAATCTACCTTCTCATCAAAATGATGATAAATCAAATCATTATTTACCTGAAATGGTTTTAATAACAAAATCTACAGCTGAACTTTTAAATACCTTATCTGAAACAACATTAGGTAAGTTGAACTTATATATATATATATATATATATATATATATATATATATATATATATATATATATATATATATATATATATATATATATATATATATATATATACAATGATTTTGTGCATTTCAATTGAACTATATCAACTACTTTTCATTGTAGTTGAAGAAAAGTCTTAAGATCAATCATGTAGAACTTTTCTTCGGTATCACCAATCAATTGCATGCAAAAAGATAGATGAAATCAACGTATAACCTCGAATACAAATGCATCGGTTCAACTTGCCGAAAAGAGTGATATTAAAGTGTATGCAAAGTTGTGTGGCATAACAAGCAATCTGAATATAAAGATCAGTGTGAATATTCAAGTAACTTTAGAAAACATCGACGAGTGAATACCTCCACTATATCACCAAGAGTCCTCAACTCATTGATTCCTTTCATCTCGAGAACCTCAAGCAGACAGTTTACATCTTCTCACACCATCTAGATCAACAATCAGAGACTTCATTGACTGTTGCCCCTGGTCTTGGTGTGGCCACTCTGAACCGTCTTCAAACTTAATCCAGCTTCTCCTAGCATTAAAATGCGAGGTAGATGGTGGATTGGCGTGCGCAACATATGCCCAAACCATTTCAGTCAACTAAGGTTCAAAACCCTACTCTCAGCCTGAACTTTGCTCACACGGTGATTCCGCTAAACGCAAGCAATGATACGAAGATATTTATGATCAAAACCCTATAACCACTTCATTTGTTTTATTTTGAACGGCTATGTCTCACAAATGTACAACACGACAGAATGGACTGCAGCTCAGTATACCTGTTGTTTAATAGGTAATCGGATATCTCACTAGTCAGCGACACAGATGATTCAACTTTGGAAATGTGTGCAACTTTCTCGTGTCGATAAGATGTTTTGCACGAGTATATTGTTTTTCTCCTTGAGATTATTATTTCATGTTAACCTATCATAACATGTGGACCTTTGGCTCCATGGTTTAAAGAGATGACTTTCACCGAATGCGTCGTGGGTTCAAACCCCGCTCCACTTACCGAGGTTTAGACAGTCGTGTAGGAGTAAGACTAGGCCTCATACAACAGATGTAGCTCATCGGCCTACTGCGCGAATGTGCACGAGATTGTTGAGTTTGTTTTTTCTACTGATGGGTATTAATATTACCTGCACTGCCATTTTCTCTGTCCTGGCTGTGAAACATCACAATTAAAGGTTGGAGGATATAAGAATGCTTCACATACTGCTTAACCACCGTTGATTTCGTAGTTTACTCTATGTCGTAAAATCACCATATTAATAACGTAGAACTTAGGCATAGGATTTTGTATGTCGATAAAGTAAGTCAGTTATTTAGTTGATAAACATTCTGTGATTTGGATTGGGTGCATTATATGTTCGAAAATTTGAAATCCACTCAGCAATCTCGTGCACATTCATCTCGTAGCCAATAAACTCATAGAGATCTGATACTTGAACGTTGGTTGGTGTAATGTGATTGATTGTAAAAAAGCTTCAGGGGTTTAAGGGTTTCGTATAACAAGGTCCTGGACTAGCAGTATTGAATGTTTGTAGATCAATCGGCAGCCCGAATTCTCTTGTTTAACTTCGGCTACAATCTAGATTTTATTTTAGTTTGATCCATCATCGGCGTACATTGACCTTGAACGTTTTATTACCCTTTATCCTATCTCATTCACTCATCTCAGTGTTTTTCTGTTCTCCTTGTTGGTGTGTTTCTATTCATTCTAGTGTTTCTCTACTCCTCTTTATTATTATGCACTCACGACCACCGCTTCAGCATTATCACCTTTGGTGTATCGTGCACCATGGTCAGTTACCACTGACCCACTTAACGAAGTGGAGGTCCATAAGGAACTCCAAATTCCGTAACACCACAAGGTGCCCAGACCATCCAACTTACCCCCGACTATTTTTAAGGATACAGGAACGACTCTAATCAGGGAAATGACAAGACTATTCGAGAAAGTATGGAGAGGCCATCTTTAACAAGGGTCTACGTGACGGGTCTATGTGACAATCATCGGGGTATTAGTCTGTTACCAGTAGCGTCGTAAATATTGGCTACTGTCATTACATCTCAGACTTTGCAAAACCCATTAGAAAATTATTCTCAAGGAGTATGTCGGGTTTCGTTTAAATCATGGATACATTGATCATGTGTTTACTCCCCGTCACATGCTCGAACATCGCCACACGTGTTCCAGGCCAACAACCATGGTGTTTCTTGACATTACGACTGCCTTCGTTTCGTTGGACACAGATGTCTATTGGAGAGGGGCGTACCTGGGGGATTTCTTGACATCTTGAAATCCCTATATGGTAACGCCTTAGGGACTTAGGGCATACAACCTGTATCCACTATTCCAAACCAGTGGTGGGGTCAGATAGGGTTGCCTGATTTTTCCATTCCTTTTTAACTTTGCCATCGATGACATTCTTGAGACAGCTCTGAAAGAGATTCATGATGGTGGTGTGGAATTTCTACCCGGAGAACAACTATTCGAACTTGAATATGCAGACGATATCGTATTACCGTGCGATAACACACAGGCTACTCGAGTCACACCTAATCAGTTGGGGACTAGTGTCTTTAAGTACGGCAGGTGCTTTGCACCATTGAAGTGCAAAGTACTTTTGCAAGATAGGCAGGAGCCTGTGTCTGCGCTCACCCTCGGTGGTGAGCCGTTGGAAGTAGTTGGAAAGTTCGTGTATCTGGGACGTTGTGTGAGTGCTGGTGGTGTGATTGGCGAAATTTCCAACTGCATATTGGAAGCCAGAGTGGCATACGTCAACCTGGAACACCTTTCGCGCCATTGCGACTTTAGTTTAACCGTAAAAGGGTGGGTTTACAACGCTTCGGTGCAAGCAGTTCTGTTCTTCGCCTGTTAAACCTAGCCTCTTTGGGATTAGGATGTGCGACAGTTCGGCGTGTCCTATCACCGTCGTCTCCGTAGGATTGCTCGTATCTGATGACCACACCATTTAAGTTGTTTTGGAGTGCAGCAGTGTGAACAGGCGTGATGGAGATCGTCATTCAATAAGTGAGGTCATCTGGAAACACCAACGTCGGTGACTTGGGCATGCGTTACGCATTTCGTCCTAACGGCTTCCATACCGTTCATTGTTTGCTATCCTTTGGTGTAGAACTGGACGGAAGAAGCAGCGAGGTAGTCAGTGTATGATATGGCACTGAGAAATAGAGGATAGTTGTATCAGGTCAGCGTCTGTCGGCGCATCACGACTCCGTGAGTGAGATCTGAGAGATGATGCAACTCAGTAGCTCGAGACGTTATCAGATATGGTTGGAAAGCGAAACCAGTACCGGCCATACTGTAGCTTCCCCCTATCTTCTTCTGCTGAAAAGTAATTAATGTTTCTTTTCGAACGTAACTTACTGGACTGTCCTTCTAATCATTCTGTTCCTATTGTGTTTTATTTTTATTCACTTCCCTCCGTTTTATACCTTCAAATTGTAATATTATTTTGTGTAGTAGATTTCTCGATGCCCTTGTTGTACCACGTTTGCGTTCGAATAATAATAACAATAATAATAATATGGATATTATTAAGACCTCCCTCTCGTCACCTGGCTACACAGGTTGACCTAATCGCAGGAGAATTTTCATCAGACCTACAATGTGCAGATGACATAGTCCTGTCAAGTGAACACGCTGACAAAATGCTGAACAGTTGTCTTCTGAACACTTTGAGTGGCAATTCGAGAATGTTTGAGATGCGTTTGTCACCACGGAAATGCAAATTGTTGCTCCAGGATTGGTCTTCAACGATGCCCCACCGTGGCTAACAATAGAGAGTCAGTGTAGTGGTTGAGCGTGTCAACCACTTCACTCACCTGGTGAGTGAAGTAGGATCAGCCGTGCCCTGGTGGGTCAGTTGCTGATGAAATCTCTGCACGGATACAAAGGGTTGATTGGCTTTTGTCAACTAACGCTGTGTGTGGCACCACCATGATATCCGATTGTCTATTCAGGGTGGGGTGTACTGCACAGCAGTCCGGTCTGTTCTACTCTGTGTGTGTGTGTGTATGTGTGTGTGTGTGAACATGGCCATTGAAGGTGGAAGAGATGAGAGGGGGCTGGCTTCAAGTGTTTGACCACCGTTACCATCTTAGTACATGTCGTATTCCGTGGTGTTACCATGTGAGTAGTGTAGAAGTCAGGTGTAGAGTTTTGGGGAGAAGAGGTGAGTTGAGTGAGTTGAGACGGTTATGAACGTGCATGAAGTGAGATGGCTGGTTGGAACATGTGTTAGTTATGTCTAGTCACTGATTGCCTCATCACACAATGTTGTCCGAAGTAGGTTGAGTCGGTAAAGAGGCTTGAGGCTGGAGACGGCCAGACTACAACATGGCATCAATGTGTGAAGTGTTTGACTGTTGGTTTGAACTATGTGGGACGATTTTGTAGACTGGGTGGTTGGGGGTCTGTGGGACAAGAGGAACTAGTGATTGGAGAGTGACTCTAGATGATGACATGGTTGAGAAGCGATGTGAGTGGTGCAGATGTATACACACATTATCTTCATGTTAATGACGCTCTTTCGAATCTCACCATTTTGTCATTCTTCCTTTGTCCCTTTTCATACTTTATATTTCTTTTGACTGAATTTTCTTATCTTCATCTTGCGCATCACTGCCTTTTTACTTGGTGTGGTGATATGAGCTGTGGCAACTTGAAGCATTACGCAGTAATGCCTGGTCCCATATTGATTTGGATGGATGGATTTTTGTACAAACCTCTACGTTATATTCTTCTGTTTACCTTTTAATAGCCAAAAGACTTTGTGGTAGTTTTTGTTATCAAATAATATCATTTCAAAGCGGGAAAAGAAAATTCAAGGAAAGATATATTGTCGCAGTTATGATGGGAGGTGGCTAGCAGTGGAACCCAGGATGCGCATCCCGTCCTATTTGGAACTCGTCAGCTGGATGTGCCTGGCTCCCAGTGAGTGATGTCCCCACCGGGATTTTGACTCGGGAGTCATCGCTTCAAACGCCAGAGCCTTATCCACTACACCACCGAGCCACGATAGTCACTTCTTGTGCGACGGGCATAGTTTTAGTACAATTGTTTTTTTATATCCTACCGTCGTTTATTGGACCGAATTGATCAGTCTCTATTGGCATATGGGATCCTGTGCGGATGCCTCGATATTACCTGTTAGTAGAAGAGGCAGCGAAGACGGGACTTCAAGTGAATATAGAGAAGACAGAGGTGATGAAGATACCGCACCAACAACTTCAACAACAACAACAACAAACTCCAGTCACCATGAACTGGAGAAACTTAAAGGAAGTAACCTCCTTCACCTATCTAGGAAGCACTGTTTCAACTACAGGCGGCACAGGCACAGACGAGGATGTCAAAGTCAGGATTGGAAAAGCAAGAGAGGCGTTCATTAGCCTGAAACCAGTGTGGAGATCTTCTGCACTCAGCATGTGGAACAAGATGCGGATTTTCAACACCAACGTCAAGTCGGTGCTTCTGTATGGTTGAGAGACTTGGCGCGTTACGAAAGGCATTTCCAATAAACTACAGACATTCATCAACAACTGCTTACGCTCACTACTGAAGATCAGATGGCCAGAAAGAACAAGCAACAAAGAGCTCTGGGAACGAACCAACCAAGAACCTATGCAGAAGAAGAAAGTGGAGATGGATTGGATTAGGCATACACTGAGAAGGCCGACTGGGGACATCACGCGTCAGGCCAGTCGCTTGAGTGGAATCCCCATGGGAAGCGACGAGTTGGACGTCCGAGGGTGACATGAAGGAGGTCGTGTGAGGAGGAAATGCGAGCTTCTGGGCTGTCGTGGAACCAGGTTCCAAAGATCTCAGAGAACAGAGGTCACTGGAGACGTGCTACTGAAGCTCTATGTTCCACTAGGAACCCAAGGGACTAATAATAGTAATAATAATAATAATAATGTCTCAGTTGCTTGATCGTTTACTTTCTGTCGATTGGTGATCAGGGATCATTTACATGTTGGTATCATTTTCTTAATCTATTTTCATTTTGTTGTTCAGGGCAAACAAAAGGTTCTTATTTTATGTCTGTCTATGTATGTATAATGGTACTTTCACCCAACATACATACATACATATGCACATTTGTTTCAGTGTTCTCTCACACATAAACATTTTATGATAGACATGTCTAGAAATCATTCTTATATAATTATATATACAGCATTCACAGAACTTGCTAATAGTGATATAATGCTTTAGAATTGTGGTGTTGATGCTGTAATCGAGGTACTTTCATTCGTTAGCGAGAGAGAGAGAACATACATTGATTCTATTCTCTTTTCTGATGTGTATGTGTGTGTGTGTGTATGTGGTGTGCTGCCATCATCACAATTCGATCAGTCACATCCGATAAACATTTCTTGACATGATGAACACAACTGCACAAGCGTTTCAGATCTTTTCACATTTCCTTATACATATCTACATGAAATGAAATGTGATCATAATTGTATGTTGTTTGTGAATGGAGTTTTTTGTTTATTGTTGGCTTTGTACTGGTGAATGAACCTGTGCAGAATTGTGTGTGTGTGTGTGTGTGTGTGTGTGTGTGATGACACTTTGGCTAAACATTACGGGCCAGAAGAAATCACTGACCACATTTTTATGGGGATTTTTTATAAATTGATTGCATTTCAATATACTTGAATTATTATTATGACTATTCCAAATGATAGATAATGTGTCAGAAGGCTGTGAGATATTGCGGTTGAAAGTAGACAACGATAATAGGTGTCCTCGTAGCATTGCTCGCGTTTAGCGGAATCACCGTGTGAGCAATGTTGAGGCCGCGGGCAAAGGGTACTAGGTAAGTTGATTGATAAGGTTGTGAACCTTAGTTGACTGAAATGGTTTGGGCATATGTTGCGCACGCCAATCCACCATCTACCTCGCATTTTAATGCTAGGAGAAGCTGGATTAAGTTTGAAGACGGTTCAGAGTGGCCACACCAAGACCAGGGGCAACAGTCAATGAAGTCTCTGATTGTTGATCTAGATGGTGTGAGAAGATGTAGACTGTCTGCTTGAGGTCCCCGAGATGAAAGGAATCAATGAGTTGAGGACTTTTGGTGATATGGTGGAGGTATTCACTCGTCGATGTTTTCTAAAGCTGCTTGAATATTCACATTGACCTTTATATTCAGATTGCTTGTTATCCCACACAACTTTGCATATACTTTAATATGACTCTTTGTTCTATCCACCTGTTTTTTGCCTACTTCTATGAAGTGTGGCAAGTTGAACCAATACGCTTGTATTCGACGTTATACGTTGATTTCATCAGTCTGTCTGCCCAATGTGTCAGAACTTTTCGTCGCCATATAGCATACGCTAGTAATGCATCATCATCATCGACTCAGTGTCACTAGTACACAACCATTCCCATGCGTTGCTTTTCCGCTCTAATTCAGCTCGGTTAAGATTAAAGCGAGAAAATCCATTGATGCAGCCAATGTGCATGGGTAGCTACGTGTTATTGACTCAAATAGCAGTCGAGTAGAACTCTCAGCAAATTATCTGAAGTTTTAAAGCTGGTTACCAGCTTAAGTCTCATACACAATAATTGACAGAGTAACTGGTTCGATAATCTGAGGGGCCGCTACTTTGAGTCTTGCCCTAACTCAGCTTTTCATGCCACCTTCAGGCATCACCCAGTACCAGTAGCGTGAGTCTTACAATCCTCAGTTTGTGTCAATAATGATGAAAATTTGTTTCGTTTCAAGTTATTACACCTGTCGTACGCTATGTTAGACACTTCAAGCTGATCATAATTTTCAGAGTGAAGGTTTGACTATATTTGCGTTAGCATTTCTATACAGGTGTGTTGTAGTAGCGCCTATCCATGACTGTAATGTGAACTAAATAATTTACGTTATAGGAAACTTTCTACTCAGATTTCTGTAATTACGTCAACTGTACCAAGAAGATGTCATGTAGCCGGAGTAGGGTTGGATTTGAAAAAGGCTAACTGGCATTTGGTCTGTTCTGTGTGTGTGCTGATGCTGTTGAGAGTTCATAAGATGGTTTAAGATATTTGGGGGGAGGGGGGGGGTGATTTAGCTTCTGTTACTTTTGTTTCTATCTTACTAATGATCATTGTACTGATTCACATACACACCCTTCCTACACACATTTTTCAATTTCCTCTAAAAGTAGATCATTTCACCTGGAAATTATTCAAAGCAAAAAGGTCTCTCAGTTGCCCTACAGTATATACATAATACTTTCTCATTAAAACCGAAGAAACTGATTCAGCGTAATGCTTCTAATATCTTGAGGGAGTACTTCTTCACGCATTATCAAATCGTAAGATTGCTGAGTGAAGCTGTTCAACGCGTTGACAATTATAGTGATGTTTGCGGACTGAAGATCTCAGCACAAGCATACAAGACTCAACTGTAACAACTTCTGCCTATTCAATTACCCATCAGCATCATCATTACTTTGTATTTTCAGTATACCTCTAGAGGAAACAATTGTTGAATGAAAAGTTAGTTAGAATTCATCTTCCATTTAGGGCTTTTCACTTTATACTTCTCAGCTTAAAACCCAGGCATGAAGAAATCACTAATTGTATGGTTCTGTTTAATATATTATCTCTTTCGTAAAGGTTAGTTGGATTCAAACAATCGACAGGCTTCTTTCTTTTTGACCTTTTGTCAACAAGGCGTATCTGTAACCTCTATGGAACTGTCTGAGATTCGAACCTGCGTCACCTAGTGTTGCAGTCAGAAACGTTACCATTGAGCTGCTCGGATTGCAGTTGACGTACTGTAGGACTAGATTAGGCACATTGATTGGTCTAGTCTTATGTCCTGATGGAATTCTATCATCCTCTATCTCTTTGTTCTTCTACTTCTTGGAAACATAACAATTATACTCATAATAGGACTTGAAAACCTTATACCTTAGTACAGCTTTCTCCCTGTCGTCCACTCAATACTTCTCTTCTGTATTCATACTTTCTTAAAGATTATCTGATCTATGGTGTAAGCATTCAGACTAATTCTAGAACGTTTTACTAAGGCTTCAATAGTAGCACCTATAATTCAGTAGCTTACCTCTGCATATTTGATTCTTGTATAACAGTTACTTAGTGTTTAAACTGATAGATGTATCCTACTGAAGAGTGTGAGTCAGTGAAAAATTCAAAACTCTATTACATCAAGTAAATGTAGTAGAATGTGAATTATGTAGTATGAAGTCCGCCCCCCACCCCCCTGCAGAAAATATCACTATCCTATTGTTGTCTCTCTCATGTAGATAAGCAAATTCAACAGCTATTCAATATACGTTCAGAGTTGGATTCACGTGTTGAAGAACTGGAATCTCAACTAAGAGAGGAACGTAAACGTGTAGAAGCTCCAGCTACACGTTACGATTCTAAAAATCGTACAAATGCAGCTAATACAGAGGATATTAAACATGAACTTCAACGTGAGTTTGTTTTTAAATTTGTACATTGTAATTTAAATACTCTTTGCTTAACTGGAAGATGAAACTTATTCTGTTTGTCCATACTATGGAAGTTAGCATGGTATAACTACGTAAACGTTACCTCTTTTTGTTTATTAATACTGGGAGTGTAAGTACACCGAGCTGACGAGTCTCAGATAGGACGAAATGGGATTCTGGATCTAGATTACTTCTTTTGTTTAAACTTACCCACAACAGGAGGTCTAGGCTAACAATGAAACATTTGTCTATGAAAGATGAGATCGTATAGCGTATATAATCCCAGAAGTTGGGAATATATACCATAGTACTTTGTACCATTTTACCTTAATTTACTAGTCGTTTGTTAACTGTTAGAGGCAGATGGATAAATAGATAGATAATATCGACCTGGGACCTGATATTACTGTATAACGGTCCAAATAGTTAAACTTCATACCAATACATCAAAATGAAAGGTAAACTAATCAAGAAAAAAGCAGTCGAAATTGATAGGAATTCACCAAGAGAGAGCAAGAAGGAAGGAAAAAGTGCTGAAATCCAGTATGATGGTTAAGATTCTGAGTGGGTCGGTAGCTCCTACCTTGATGTGATTGTTGGGCTTGCTTATCAAAATGATGGATGCCTAAATCGAGCTCAAGAACAACTAATTCGAGGAAACCAGGCAGGTTTCATACCTGAATGAGGGTGCATCCATCAAGTTTTCACTCTCCGACAAATTCTGGAACACAGGGATATCTACTGGCGGTCGACACTTACCATATTTCTTGACCTGAAGGCCGCCTTCGACTCTATTCACCATGATGTGTTGTGGCAGCATCTGACTGTGAAGGGAGTGTCGAGGAGGTATATAATGCTTATCAAAGCTCTCTACTGAAACTCACGCAGCGATGTAACAGCTTATGAGGAGATGTCCTGTAAATCGACAACAACTAGTGTTGTCTGCCAAGGATGTCCACTGTCATCATTTCTATTTACTTTAGTTGTGGATATATTAAAGGACTTCACAGTAATTGATCTACTCCCTGGAGGTCATTTGGCTGATGAGGACACTGACAAAATGTAGGGTCTTCTTACGTGTTAAGCGTAAATCTGAACATGTTTGACTGGCATGTGTTTCGCACGTGTCAAATGTAAAACGATGCTTCAGGACTGGTCTGCACTTACTCTCAGTTTAAGGATAGAAAGTGATGTGGTGGGATGTGTCGACCACTTCAGTTACTTGGCGAGCTGCTTCAGCCAGAACGGGTTGGTCGCTGACGAAATCTCAGCTGGAATACAGATTGCTCGTTTGGCGTTTGCTAACCTGGGTCATCTGTGGCGCCGAATAGTGAAATATCCCACTATCCATGAAAAGACAAGGGTACTGCGCTGCTGTCTATTCTATCCTGTAGCACGGCTGTGACGCATGGTCGTTATAAGTAGAAGGTATAAAGCGGTTACAGGTTTTTAATTTCAGGCATCTTCATAGGACTGTTCGCGCATTGTACAACCAACATATGAGGGTTTCAGAAGGCAAACAAAGGTTTCTAGTGAAGGAAGATAAGTCAGTCGATGATGCTGTAAACCTTTAACAACTGAGATGGCTTTGACATGTGGCGCACATGCCGGGCCACCGCCTACCTCGACATACTATGCCAAGGGCAGTTGGATTAGGTTGGTAGAGGGTTCAGTGTGTCCAAACTAAGACGTGGCACCAGTCGATGAAGTCTCTGTGTCGTGGTCTAAGTCATTTAGTGATGTGTGGGCTATTTGGTTGGAGTTCTCGAGATGATATTAGTGAGTGGTTAGATATCCTTGATGATATGGTGGAAAATAGGTCTTTGATGTCTCCTATAGCTTGGATAATTTTAAATTCCTTCTCCTCCGATGCACCTTTGTCTACTTTAATATCAGTCTTTTCCTATCTGGTTGTTCTTTCTATTCTACTGTGAAGTTTGGCAGCTTGAACCGATGCACTTGTAAGCAAAGTTCTACGTTGATCTAAGCTGGTGGAACGCGTGTTTCTTTGAGGTCCTACCATACCAGAAAGGTTCGTTGGATAACGGTTAGACAAAAAGCAGTTACATTTATGGCATAATTGCTACGCTATGATGAGAGTTCGACAGCAAACTACTACTGCTGGGTGGATATAGATATGACTACGGTAAAGTGTTCCCCTTACATGACCAGTGGTACAATGCTGATTTTTCCTTCCCTATAGAAAAGGAAGTCTTCCGGTACCGGTGGCTTGGATTTATAGTCGGATTGGAAAGGAAGGAACTCGAACTCCAAACTTCCAAAAGTGCTGTATGTAACCAACATCAGTCAGATATCCATTGGGTTCTTAGGCCACCTATTCAACTCCCTCAGCTATCCACACTGTTGGCAGACGGAAAGTATCAACTGCCCTTACAACTTTGTCAGCATATCGACTGAAATCAGTGTTTATCGCAAAATCTAAGTTATCGAATTAAATTATTCATGATCAATCTCGTTTTTCGAAATGGCACAGAATATCTTTTGGTGAGTTCATAGGGTTTCCCATTTAAAATTAACTTGGTAGTGTCTGGCACTTGGATCCAGGGCACACGTTTCGTCTCATTTGGAACTCGTCAATTGTGTGTGCCTGCATCCCAGTGAGTGGTGTTTTTCCCACTGAGACATGGACCCTGCACTCTATTGCTTCAGAGACGACTGTTGCCATTCTTAGCTTTGAACTCTAATTCCTCCTTAGGGTCGACGTCAGTGGAACCTCCAAACTCTTGAGACAGCTGACAGTGCATATGTGTGTGCTTCTGATGAGTTCCCAAGTAAAGTTGAAGTAACTCTTCTAACTTGTCACTGGTTTATGTATTACTTCATAAAAGTTGTTTAATTCGCAGTAACCACCAGTTAAATCGGTTACGCATAGGCCATCAGTTCCTCCAGTACTCGACAAGACACCTACTCGTAGTTGTAGAGTGTCGGGTGAGTTGAATTGAAAGGAAAGACGAATACCGGGTGTAGTTTTCCCCACTTCGAAGGTGTGTTGCAAAGACAACTGAAGAACATTTCAAGCAAACAGTTCACTGTCATCATGTACTGTTAGCCACAAGGCTTAATGATTCTGGATCGTTTCCTGAAAACATACGCACAAGTAAATTTCAATCCAATTTCTCTTGAATTGATTCAACTTTATTTCCATCTGTTCTTAAAGGTTGAGACTTAATGTGTATTTATCTAGTATTCAATATTTTATGATATCATCACGTGAACATCGATTCTTTGTGCTACTATCATATGCGTTTCATTAGTGCATCACAATTTCTTTTTACGTAAATTCAATAGAACAATGTGATACTCCCACGTATATATCTCTTTTATTGATAGTATCATCTGTTATCAACCGAGAATTTCAGTACAACTATTATTACCTTATTATTTGTCCTTTGGATTCCTAGTGGAACATAAGGCTTCAGTAACACGTCGCCATTTCACTCTCTTCTCTACAGTCTTCTCTTCTAACCTGGCTCCACGACTGCCCACAAGCTTTCATTTCTTCCTCACACGATCTCCTCCATGTCACCCTCACCTCGGACGCCCAACTAGTCGTTTCCTATTTGGGTTCCACTCGAGGGTCTGGCCTGGTGCGTTATGTCCCTAAACGATCTTCTCAGTGTACGCCTAATCCAATCCATCTCCACTTTCTTGTGTATATTTGTTGGTTGGTTGGTTGGTTGCCAGCCAGCCAGCCAGCCAGAGTGAGTTGCTTGTTGCTTATGGCCATCTGATCTTCAATGTGAGTATCGAGTGAGTGAGCGTAGGTGGCAGTTGTTGATGTGTGCCTGTGATTTGTTGGAAATGCTTTTCGTGAGGTGCAAAGTCTCTGAACCATCACATAGAAGCACTGACTCACTTGACTGAATTAGTGTTGAAAATCGGGATATTGTTCAGGCTTTATTGTGGGTGGAGTGGAGTGGAGTAGATCTGCACACTGATTTCAGATTGATGAAAGCAGACTTGTCTTGCTGTCTTCTGGATCCTGGTTTTGACGTCTTCATCTGTGCGTGTGTCGCCTGTAGTTGAAACGACGCCTCGCTGCCTAGGTAGTTGAAAGACAAGTTCGTTTAGTTTTCTCCTGTTGGTGGTGATTGGGTGTTGTTGTTGTTGGTGGTGGTGGTTGGGTATCTTCATCACGTGTGTCTTCTGTAGGTTCACCTTGAAGAAGTCTTGTCTTCGCTATCCTGCCTCTTCTGTTAACTTGTTAGTTTTCGCATGCAGATTTTCGAGCTTGTACGACACTAGACATAAATCATTATGGGCGAAATCCGAATCTTCTAGAGTCGGTGAAATCTCTGAACGAATACAATATGCTCGATTGGCTTTCATCAACTTACTCCATGTATAGCACCGCCGCGTTATTCCATTGTCTACTAAGGGTCGAGCGTACTGTGCCGCAGTTCAGTCTTTTCTACTCTGTGAGCGTGAAACCTGACTGCTAAAGTAGAGGATATGAGTAGGCTCCTGGTGTTTAACCACTGTTACTTTCATAGCATAGGCTGTGTTTCATGGTTTCACCATGTGAGTAACTCAGAAGTCGGACGTAGAGTTTTAGGGAGGAGAGGTAAGTCAGTTGGTGAAGTTGTGAACCTTCATCAACCGAGGTAGCCGGACATGTGTTACTCATGCTTCGTCACACAATGTTGATTGAAGTAGGTTCAGGCTGGAAAAAGACTCATGGCGGCCAGACTAAAAAATGGCGTCACTACATACAGTATTTGACTGTTTCTTTCAGCCATGTGGGGCAATGCTGACTAACCGGTTGACAACAGGAACCAGTATTTGGAGACGCTAGGTGATATGGCTCATAATAGATGTCATTGGCGTAGATTTATGCACATATGATCCTTATCTTAGTTGCTGTACTGAATTATGCATTTTCTCATTCTTCCTTCCTCTCTGTTATTGTTTTTTTCCGCCTTTGACCGATTTCCATCATCTTTCATCTCACTCCTTTGCCG